TTTTCCTCCAGCAACTTTGCTGTTAATGCAGCAGGCCGGCCACTCAGCCTCACTTAGGCTGCCACTATCACAGCAGATGTGCAGAGTGTAAAGGTGCAGGACACAAGAGGCAGATTGTTCCAACAAAAAACTGGCCTTTTATTTGGCCAAAAGTGAAATCAATCCTGCCACATCCAGAGCAGACAGCAAGCACAAAAGTGGAGGTACACCAACATTTTAACAATACATCTATATAGCACTTTATTTTACTTTTTGAGGTTTGAGTAGGGTTCATGGTTTGTTTTTGTTGCCTTGAAGTTTTTACAAGTGTAATTATCTCACTGCAATGGCAGATAAGTTCTTATCCTACAGAATTGTGACTTTATGATAATAAATCTGTAAAGTAGCCTTATAATGCAGAAATTAACATACTGTCATCAAGATGATTTAAGATGCAACAAGAACGGAAGCAGTGTAAAAGACACACAGTCTGTCATTATTGAAGTTCATTATTGGATAAATACAGAAGTATGTTGTTTATTAATTGTGCTGTGCTTATTAGCAGATAGTCTAGTCAAAGCCCCTCCCTCCACCCCAATCTGTCACAGTTGAACGCACTCACACTTACTCTAGCAGAGGCACACTCACCATCACAGATACAGCATCAGCAGTTTGCTTTTAACAATGACTGATGTCAGTGATTGTGCTCAGAAGTCTGTTGAGCAGGAACCCACTTTAAGGCGCATTGCAGCAGAGGCATCTGGAGACTGGATAAACAGGGATAGCTTCCAGACGCAGTTGCATTGTACCCTGCAGGTACAGGATATATTCTTAAACTAAGGGTATATCCTGACTAATGTGTTCTTGTTTCTTAAAACTATTAAAACTATTACTACATCTACACCAACTGTTTACATTAATCCAGTGTTGAGGACCCTTGAAAGTTCTGTGACAACTCTGGGACTGTGCTGAAGTTTTGATAAGCAGACACCTTTTTTTTGAAAAGGATAAACCATCATCCATTACCTGTCTTAGAAGTCACCAGATAAACTAAAATATTATAGAATTCACACATCTTTTGTATATGTATCTTTCTTTTGATTGTACTTGTGCTTGTTCTCAGTACAGGCTTCCTCAGGTGGATGGAAAATACTCCAGGTGCTGCTTTAATGTGTTACTATACTGACTTTGTGACAGCTGGTCATGTATCTTTAAGAGCTGCAGAGCCGCCAAGTTAAATGATTGGTCCTAATTTTTACCATTGGGGCAGTGTTTTTTTTCTGCAAACTGTGATAATGTGCACATTTAAAAAAAAAAAAAACTTTAAAAATAAATTATTGGTGTAACCTAAGTAATGGGTATTCATATTCTAAACACTTATATCTATCGATCATAAACAAGACTATTTGTAATCATGTCACAGCAACAGAGAAACTCAGTTAAACTAATTATGCAAGTCAAACTTGCAAAAGGCAGCTGAAAATTCTGGAGAAGAATGTTGAGCTTTTACAGTGTGAAGTCATTTAGTCGTAAGAGAGACTTGTTTTAATTAAGGAAGAGTGATCCATGAAAGATGAAATGTTATTGTTATAATAGTCAAAATGTAACTTCCATAAAATCCCAAATAAGGATTATCTTTTGGAAACCTGTAATAAACTTTAATTGAAAACATACACTGCATTAATATATTTAGTGATGAAATAAACATTTTACACTGTATTTCATTTCATTACAATCTTTTTTTAAATATAAAATTTAGTTATCAATCGCAAACCAGTAACAAGCAGTGCAGTATCTGGCTGCTCCAGTCTGCATGCTAAAGTATACTTGGGCAAGGTACTGAACCCCGAGTTGCTCCCCAATGGTTTTATCAGAGTATAAATGTAGATAGAAAGCAAATAGGTGTAGAAAAAAGCGCTTGTATAAATTGGTATGAATGGATTAATTGGGCATGTGGTCTGGTTAATGTGGTCTCAAGTAGAGTAGAGAAGTATGAGTATAAGAACCCATACATTTACCATAAACACAATGCAAAAATGACAAATGGCACCAAAATACAACAGGAAGCAAGAAGCAATAATGAAACAGGAGAACGCAGACGCAAAACTAATCTTAGCATAGAGGAATGACGTAGAAGGAAACGTCAGGAACACTGAGTAAATAAAATAAACACACTGAGACTAAATAAACAAAATTGAAAACACGGAGGGAATACACCAACTTGACCATCTAAGTAATAAGCACAGAAAAGAATCAAACATTCAATACTAAGTCCAGCAAAACATTTGATTTTTTTATTTAGTATGGTTTCTATATTTTCTACAGGTTTGATTACATTTGATTACAAGTTTGTATAGCCCACTAATAAAAAAAATACATACTTGTGCTGTAATTCATGAGGTAGACTTACCTTTTCCAGTCTATATGCTAAAGTGTCCTTAGTTAAGAACCTGAAACCTAAAATAGTTACTGATTTATCACTGATGTGTGCCAAAGATATCACTAATTTTAATTTAAACTATGTGGATGTGAGCAGTGGAAAATTCTAGAAAACTCTAGGAAGTTCTTAAATTGTAAATATGTTGGTCTGTAGTATAACAAGAAATAATCCAAAGCAAGAGTAAGACTCTCTCTGACATTTGTTCTGCTAGCTCGTACTTGTTGGACTGATAAAAACCCCGATACATGGCAGTTTGTATCTTCTTCATTCCATACAACAAATGAGCTCAAGATATATGTACATGTACATACTACACTGCTCCTACTTGGACTTCTTTCTGCAGAGTAGCTAACTGAGTAATGGACATAATGAACAACTAAAGTTAAATATTTTTGTTTTATGTGTCTTTTTTCTTTTAGTCTGAAATACACTCAGTTGAGTGGCATTATTTGCTGGTATATTATATTTATTGTATTATATTATCTATCTATCTAGTTTATATTACAAGTACATTGTCAATTTGATATTCTTACAGTTGTTTGAACTACTTTTTATGAACAGCTTTAGTTGCTTTAGGTTCTTAGGTGATTTAAAGTGCTCTGAAAATGTAAAGTGGATCCACTGAAACACTGAAGCTTACTGTCCCACAGCCTGATAAAAGAGACATGGAAATCACCTCGGTTTGTCGCACATCAAAGTGAAATGAATGTGACTGATTAGGAGGGTTAGCTATTGCTGTATTGTTGTTGCCAGGAGTATGAAAGAGGTAAGTAGAATTCAGTAGAACACAGCATTAATATACCACATTTAGTGCACTTTGTGGTTTTGGTAAAGTGCAACAACGTATTTTTATACTGTTATTTTTTTTTAAAGAATCATAGAAAATTTGGTTCTTTCAGCTGATTTTAAATCCAAATTCTGAACATGACCGGCTCCGGACAGTTTTAGTTTTTATTTTCTTCTTCATTCATTTGCAGACTATGTGCTGTTTTAGGGTTTGAGAGTAAAGACTAAATATAAAGTTCCAAATTAGTACAAATTTGATGTGAGGTCAGCAAGTACAGTAGTCATTTTTTTGGATCATAACGAACAATAAAATTATTATAAATTTGTTCGCCGCCAACAGAAGAAAAAAGAAAACAAAGAATAAAAATCCATGGGGATCTACCCTTGTAAGAAGTGAACCACATTTGTAGTGCAGAAAACCCAGGGTGAAGTTACCTGGGTAAGCCAAAATCCGGAGGGTTGGTGGTTCAAACCTTGGCTGCTCCACTCTACTAATAAATATCCTTAGATGCTGGATACTGACTCCAAGTTGCTCTCTGATGCTTCCATCGGAGTGTGAATGTGTGTGAATATTAGAAAGCATTTAAGCTAAAAAAAGAAAAAAAAAAAGGTTCTTGTGTTAAAGGCGTGAATTAGGTGTCTTGTATAAAGCCCTTTGAATGCTAGGAAGAGTAGAAAAGTGCCATATAAAAACCAGTCCAGTGTAAAGTGTTAAGCCACTGGTAGTCAAAGCAGTTTCCCCAACAGTCCTTATAAAAAACAGATTGTTGCTGCTGCTCTCTGGGGTGTCTGACAGTGACTGCAGCACCTTTGGAAGCTACTGCTATTCGAGCACACCGAATACCATGGGTAATTTAGCTTCTTGCTTCCCCCAGCAAAGACAGCTAAACAACTAAACACTGGGCTTATTAAACCCATATTATGTTACTCATGCTTTTCATCTACAAGCATCTGCTAAAGACTTTACATTAATGGACACTCAAAAGTAGCTTCTATCACATTCCCTTCACTGTGTTTGTCACCAGTGAAGTAACCTAACCTGCATGTACCTAACCTAACCTGGGATAAACCTGCAGGAATTGGTTGGTAGAGCCAGAGTAAAGAGCTGAACACAACCTAGTGTGAATCTAATGCTGATCTCCATAAAGTATACAAACATGGAATGGAAAGCTTCCCTCTATTAGCCAATGCCACATAGTGACAATGGGAATAGGCGGAAATCATACAAAATGTGAAAGGAAAAGTGTTTTTATGTATTATTATCCAAAAAGTATTAATTTATTATCAATATTGAAACTTTCGCTATGATCTACTGTTCAGTTTGTGAAGATCATTGCTAATTATTTTAAAAATTACTATCATATAGCTTTGAAGTACAGCTATCTCTTTGTTTTATAGTTCTCATGTCAAGGGTAAAAATAGGTAACTAAACATAAACCACTGCATGTGTTTATACATCTCAATGCAAATAAGAATTTTGCAAATACAGCAGTAGCAGGACTGTAGGCAAAGCCAACTCTGTATGACTGTGGAGCAGACGTGTTGATGCTGGAATGTCCCACAGATTGGTATTATGAGCACAAAGATGGACACAACGTACCTACGTCCAGTATAGCACCAGATCTTCTTTTACTTCTGTATAGAATGCTCAGTGCTGGCCCAATAAAAAGATTAACCAGTACTTTGCAGTGTTTTTGTATGTCATTGGAGCTGTCAGTTTGTCTCACCACACTCCAAGTGCTCTGAACAATAGCTGCGCTGATAGTAATGCTGGCAATTTCCCTGTTTTTTGCAGGTCACTGCCAGAGGATTCGCCCCATTGTTGCAGTTTGCCTACACTGCTAAGCTGTTACTCAGCAGAGAAAACATTCAGGAGGTCATCCGCTGTGCTGAATTCCTGCGCATGCACAACCTCGAGGACTCATGCTTTCGCTTCCTGGAAGCTCAGCTGCGCAGTGAGGAGGACGGCTTGCTGCTTTGCCACAAGGTGGCAGGAGAAGCAAATAACTTGGAGGATGAGAACATGCAATCAGAAGCAGAAAGGCCCACCTCCCCCATGGCCCGACATTGTGCAGATGCCCTTACTTCGTGTCGAGACCCCGACAACGATCGGCTAACGATGGCTATGCCTGGTAACTTCACAGATAGCCGGCCAGATTTCGATCGCCATGGAGCATCGGATCTGCCGCGATGCCCCAAGTACCGGAAATACCAGTGGGCTTGCAACAAGCACAATAATGACTCCTCCTCACATACCAGTACCTCAGGTTTTCCAAGCACATTAAAGGAGACCACCATTAGTGGGGCAGTGGCAAATCAGGGCACACTGCCTTTGGCACAGATCAAAGTGGAACCACAGGCAGAGGAAGAGGCCATTCCTTTGTGCCTGTCAGGGGATGAGCAGGACGCCAGGGATACGGATGTCATAATAGCCATGGAGATGGATAACCCTATATCTGTAGAAAGAACCAAGAGACCCAAGTCCCCTTCCTGCCTGCGAGCCTTCTTCAAGAAAGGAGTTGACATCTCCAGTCTGCCCAACACGTCACAGCAGCTATTCGCCAACAGACTTATCTGCCCACAGGACAAAGGAAACTCTCAGGGAGATCATACAAAAGACTTAGGCCCTTTCACTGGGGAGGTGGCTCTATCTGTTGCATCCCCAAAAGAGGTGGATGGTTTTCCTGCTAGTTTGTCCCACAAATCAACTTCCTGCGATGGGGTTTGCAAACAGGAAGTTGAAATCGACCGCCGCAGTGTCATATTTTCCTCAGGGGCTTGCAATCGCCTGGGAAACCCAGCGCATTCCTACCCTGTTGGGAACTCTTTGGAGATTGAGCTCTCTGAGCACATGACAAAGGGGCTGTGGGCTGGAGCTAGCCATTCCCTACCCACCTCCCAGTCCTATTGTCCCAGCACCACTTCTTCTGAGCCCCAAGTCCTGTGCCGCCCTAGGCCCAACACCAGCTGCCCAGTGCCAATCAAAGTATGCCCGCGCTCACCGCCTTGTGAGACTCGCACCAGAACTTCCAGCTCCTGCTCCTCATACTCCTACGCAGAGGATGGCAGCGGAGGGTCTCCCTGCAGCCTGCCCCAGTTTGAGTTTTCTTCTTCGCCATGCTCTAATGTGGCTCGCTGTCTCAATGTGGACCAGCAGGAGCAAAGTGTAGGAGGGGAGGTTGTTTTTAACCAGGTGAGGCCCAAGATCAAATGTGAGCAGTCCTATGGCACCAACTCTAGTGACGAGTCGGGCTCCTTTTCAGAGGGAGACAGCGAGTCCTGCCACGTGCAGGAGCAAGGATCAGAGGTGAGTATAAAACATTGTTTTTCACATCTAACACAGAGTGTAACTATTATACTCAAGTCCACCAACACTAATTATATTGCATTTACCTGCTCTCCATTAGCGGTCATTAAATCATTGTGTAGTAAAAGGAATGTTGCAAGCAAGATTTACAGCAGCACAAACTGTCACGGTAGTGGGTCTGTGACCCAGTGTTTTGTGTGTTTTAGTTGTATTTTTTGATTATTGTTATTCACGGATTTTGGTTCTGCTTGTGTTATATTTCTGTTCCTTTGCCTTTCTCGTGTTCCTCGTCTTGTCACTCTTGTCTCCATGTTCCTTCTGTCTTCCCAGTCAGTCGTGTCTCTGTCTCAGTGTCTAGTCTGCATCTTTGTCCTTGTCTTGTGTTTCCTATTTTACTTTGAAATTCTGTGCCCTATGTCAGTGTATCTAGTTTTGCTTCCCCTTGTCTCGTTATGTCTGATTAGTCTCAGCTGTGTTTCCCTTCTGTTTCCCATTCCCTCTTTACTCCCTTGTATATTTAAGCCTTGTGTTTTCCCTTGCCCTTTGTTGCATTGTACCTTCACCATGCTGTGTTTTTCCTCCGTGCTTCTGGTTCTCTGTTTCCCAGTTTTCTAGTTTGAGCTTCTTGTTTTGAGTTCCTAGTTTAGTTTTCTTGTATTTTATGTTCGAATGTTCTCCAGCAATAAAGCTGCCACTTTAGTTAATCATTCTGTCTCTGACCTAGACGTGCTTTGATATTATAGATGCATTTTATGCATTTTCAGAGATGTGTGTCATGAGTCTAACATTTAGAGCTGTCATTGGAGTGACATCTTTTATAAGTCATTTTTGGACATCCAATTTTGGTCCACTGAAGAGGTTGTTTTGTAACACCAGGCAAGGTCTTTTTTTCGTTCAACATCTCTTGAAGGTCTAGTGTTGTCGTCTGTACGAATCAGAATCAGAATCAGAAAGGGGGTTTATTGCCAAATGTTGAGCAGGTTTACAACATTAGGAAATTGCTGCGGTGCTTCAGTGCAAACATGGTGTCATAAATAGCACTTAAATAGATATGAAAAAAAATAAAAGTAGGGATAAGAATTAAAAGTGCTACGTAGAAAGATATGTGCATGAGATATACATGGGATATATACATGAGAATAAGAATTAAGAGTGCTACGTAGAAAGATATATACATGAGTGCAGGTGGTGATCAGTGCCAAACATGGAATGATGCAGTGAACACAGCGTAGGGTCATGTGTTAGTGGCGGGAACAGTCATATGGTTATTGTTCATGTGTCCAACAGCAGAGGGGAAGAAACTGTTCTTATGGCGAGAGGTTCTGGTGCGAATGGACCGGAGCCTCCTGCCTGAGGGGAGCAGGTCAAACAGACTGTGTCCAGGGTGAGAAGGGTCAGCTGAGATCCGAGCTGCACGCCGCAATGTCCTGGAGGTGTACAGGTCCTGCAAAGATGGGAGTCTGCAGCCAATCACCTTCTCAGCAGAGCGCACAACACGCTGCAGTCTCTGTTTGTCCCTGATAGTGGCTCCAGCGTACCACACGGTGATGGAGGAGGTGAGGATGGACTCGATGATTGCAGTGTAGAACTGCATCATCGTCCGTGTTGGCAGGTTGAATTTCTTCAGCTGCCTCAGGAAGTACATCCTCTGCTGGGCTTTCTTGATGACGGAGGTGATGGTGGGCTCCCACTTCAGGTCCTGGGTGATGGTGGTACCCAGGAAGCGGAATGAGTCCACAGAGGTGATGGGGGTGTCAGTCAGGATGATGGGGGGGGAGTGGGGCTGTGTGCTTCCTGAAGTCCACAATAATCTCCACTGTCTTCTGGGCATTCAGCACCAGGTTGTTGTGGCTGCACCAGGACACCAGACGTTCAACCTCCCTCCTGTAGGCAGACTCATCCCCGTCAGAGATGAGCCCAATAACGGTGGTGTCATCTGCGAACTTGATTAGCTTGACAGACTGGTGGGTGGAGGTGCAGCAGTTGGTGTACAGGGAGAAGAGCAGAGGAGAAAGAACACAGCCCTGAGGGGAGCCGGTGCTGATGGTCCGGGAGTCCGAGACATTCTTTCCCAGCCTCACATGCTGCTTCCTGTCCGTCAGGAAGTCAGTGATCCACCGGCAGATGGGATCAGGCACATTCATCTGGGAAAGCTTGTCTCGGAGATGGTCTGGAAGGATGGTGTTGAAGGCAGAGCTGAAGTCCACAAACAGGATCCTGGCGTAGGTTCCTGGGGAGTCCAGATGCTGCAGGATGAAGTGTAGGGCCATGTTGATGGCGTCGTCTACAGACCTGTTGGCTCTATATGCAAACTGCAGGGGGTCCAGGAGGGGGGCCGTGAGGGTCCTGAGATGGGAGAGAACTAGGCGCTCAAAAGACTTCATGACCACAGATGTCAGAGCCACGGGTCTGTAGTCATTTAGTCCAGTGATCCTAGGTTTCTTGGGGACAGGGATTATGGTGGAGGACTTGAAGCAGGCAGGCACATGACATGCCTGCAGTGAGGAGTTGAAGATGCCAGAAAACACTGGGGCCAGCTCATTTGCACAGTGTCTGAGGGTGGCAGGAGACACGCCGTCTGGGCCGGGAGCTTTCCAAGCATTCAGGTTCTTAAACTGCTTCCTCACATCTGCTTCATGAATATGAAGAGTTGTGGTGGGAGGAGGTGGTGTGAAATCCTCTTTTGTGTGGGGTGAGGAGGGGGGTGTTGTAGGTGAACAGTTTGAAGGTGGTGATGGCTCTATGGAGGGGGGAGAGGTGGGGGAATTAGTGTCCAAAGTGCCTCTATTGTACGACCTCTGTGTACAGGCTAAAGTGTGGCTGTGGACGTCTTTTCAAAGTCAAACAGACTCATTCTAGACGTCATTTTTGTACTGCTTCTATAGGCTCTGTAGTGCCATGTTTCCAGAGGGTGGAGGGCATGTTTTCTGTAAAGAAACAGTTATGTGTAAAGGTGTGATCAGCGGACATCTCCAAGATACGGCAGGCACCTGAGCTAAAAACAAAAGTGAGCAGTTCCACAGTGGGTTTCAAATAGAAATCTCCTCAGCCTCTCACAGGCAGCTTGAAAAATGTGTGTATCAACAAGACTGTTGAGCAGATAGTCCAGTTCATACTGGACTATTAATTAAAATAAACCAGTTAAAGACAAACAGGAAAATGTAAAATAACAACAACAAAGAAACATGGGTACTGAATAATTTAGCAGGCTAACACATAATAAATTGTGTTTGTTTACAAATAATCCATATTCATATGTATCATGTTGATAACAACATTGTTAATATTTGTAAATTAAAAAATATTATATTTACTAATCATGTAAATTCCCTGCATCTATCATGGATGTCCAGATGATGTCCAAAAAAATGGCCTGGTATAAAGTTCAAATGGTTAACGTTATACTGACGTCAAAGTTGGGCCATGGTTGGACGTCCAAATTGTGGACCTGGTTTGGATGTTGTACAGATGTCCAGAATTGGTCGTAGTCCAACAGAACCAATATATAGACAAGTCCGCACATCTAGCCGACGTCCAATGTCTAGTGAGTAACCACCAGTGGTACTAACACTGAGGCAGATTTGAGGGAGTCCATATTCAAAACTAAAGATATTTTGTTTTGCATCTGCTATTAACAAGCACAAGAGCTTCTAAAAGTGCCTGAAAAGCCTTCAGTTGATCCAAAATGCTAGAGTGAGGGTACTGACAGGGACTTGAAAGAGAGAGCTTGTTTCTCCCATACTCTCTGCATTTGCTCCCTGTTTAATCCAGATGAAATTTAAAAGTGCTTGCTCTCAGGGAGGTCTTCCCATTGTGCATCCCCAAAGGCTAAAACTGAATTGTTATTTTGTTGTAGTTTCATTTACGTAAGGACAGAATAGTTTTTTTATAGATCTGTCTGATCTGTAATTTTACCCACTTATATGATATGGTACTGATATGATAACGATAGCGGACAGTAAAGGTTTAGTGAGAGACCCTCACCTGGCCCCCTTTGGCCACACTTCTACCAAGCTTTGCATATTGCAAAGTAATTTCAACCACTACTTTACAATGTCCTGTGTCAGTAAATTTTTAATTGTCTGGGGTTGCAGTGAGTTGGAAGTGAGTAGGTGTGACATTCATGATGGAGCCGTAACACAGCTCAACAGTGCTGACAAGCATAACAGCAAATCCTCTAATCACCCCACCCCATCCCTTCACATCCTCCTCCCTCAGTCTACCAGACTCCTAAATGTAGACAACTGTTGTTTACCCGGTAAAGATCATTCATAGACTCTTTAATTCTCAGAAAAAGTCCAGTCTTGGTGTAATAACATGGAGGAGATTTCCCATCTGAGAGAAAGATAATAAAATCAGTTCTCAGAGAAAAACTTTATGGCCTAAAAATGCTGTTTTTTACAAGCAAAATTTCGATTTTCGCTTTGAATCTTAGATCCACGGTGTGGTCAGGGCCTTTTCCATGTTCTCCTCGTGTTAGCGTGGCTCTGGGTACAGTCCAAAGCCATGCATGTTACGAGTTGGGTTAATTGGTAATTCCAAATTGCTGTTTGGTGTGAATTTGAGTGCAAATGATTGTCTGTCTGTGTTAGGTGAAAACATTGCATCTCCAAAGTGTCTCTTTCTAAATATTCTGTTGTATTGTATTGTATTTTATTTTATTTTTTACCTTTGATTAGTAGCTGTTAATAGCACTAAATTGTATATATCTCAAATAAGCTGTGACACACTCCCCAGACAGCTGGATTGTACAGTCTTTTTGCTCCAGTGTTTGAACTTATGACCTTTTGGCTCCAGGAGGCTCCAAAAGAGCACATGTCTTATGATATGACATTCACTGATATTTGCTTGAAGTGTAGGCAGAATTGGTTTTGTTGAACTTGAGAGCAAAAAGAGAGAGAGCGAGATAGTGGAGTGTTGCCATGGTGATTCATTTCACAGAGCGAGATAGTGCGTTGCAAGGTTTGGAGCTACATGACAGGATTGTGCTTTACTGTGGA